TGGCTTTTCCGTCTCCCTCTCCTCCCGCACAGAGTAAAGGAGGGGATTGCATCAGCGGCTCCACTGCCTGGAGTTTTTGCAGGGGACAGTTTGTATCCCCACTGCATGACAAGCTCTTCTGGTACCCAAGCTCTTCCTCTACAAATCACTCAGGCTTCGCACTTACTTGGGAGCAAGGCCTGTGGTGCTCAGTGGGACTACTCCCTGACCTGGCACAGTGGGGATGGAACCAGCTCTCTGCTCTCCCATGCCACATCACAACTCTGGTCTACTTGAAGTAATAACAAAGACGAGTGCCTCTGAGCATATGGAAAGTGTGCCCTGTGTCAGGGAGAATCACTGCCAGCCCACACACCTCTGGAATAAGCAGACAAGCAAGGAGGGGAGGTGAGCCAAGGGTTGTGGGAAATATTCGGAGGCACGAATGATTTTTTTCTTCTGTTCTTCCTGCCTCTGAAGTGTGAGGTGCACCACTTCATACTTGGCAGGCCCTGCTCCCATCAGAAAAGGATTTTGCTTGGAGCCGAACCATAGGCGCCGACTCCATGGGGCTTGAGGGGGCCCGAGCCCCCTCAAAAATTTGTTTGGGGGGGCTCCGCCCCCCCAATAATCTCCGGCGCCCCTCCAGCAGAGCGCCGGAGATTATTGAAGGCTTGTAAACCCTTCAATAGAGTCCCGAAACCCCTCAATGAAACATCAGGATTTCTCAAAGAACCATCGCTGACCAATGGGCATCGTCCAAGGTGAGAGGCAGCCAATCCGAAGTCAGGAAGCAGCAGCCCCGTGTCTGGAGCGCGCGATCCGCCAGGAGAGCGCAAGAAACCGAGAGCAGAAAGCGGGGAAGAAGCGCGCTACAAAATGTAGCAACAGCGGATACAATGTTTCCTCCTGTTTCCTTGTTTCTTGCAAGACAGAAACAGAGGGCGATCCAGGGCTCCCCTCCCTCCCTCCCTACCTCCCTAGCAGAAGGTCCTTGGAGCTGATTAATAGGCGCAGCACGCTCTCCCCTATTTGCTCACGAGGAGGCGGTGCCACTTTATTTGCATATTCATGAGCTTATTTATTATTCATGAGCTTTCCCGGGCCCCCCCAATATTTTTTATAAGTCCGCGTCCCTGAGCCGAACAAAAGCGGCTACACCAAATGTGGCAGACAATTCAAGCCAGTCTCCATTTCCCCATGGGAAATCTCAAGGACATGGGGTGCTTGCTAGCGGTGGCCCAAAGGTGAGGCTACCATAGATGCAGCTCCCACCTTTACCCTGTCAGCTACATTCCAGCCAGGCCGAAAATCACCCCCCCTCCCCACAGGTGGTTTCTTATCCCAGCTCAGGGAATTGGTCCAGCCAGGCAAAGACCCTCAAACAGAGTGTGGCCGAGGGTCGGGGAGTCAATACTGGGGCTTTGGGGGGGGGTCTCTGAAAACCTCTGCAGAATAGCTTGCCAACATCTCATCCATCAAGCAGCAGAGGGCAAGGCAGAGACACTTTGTTGAGGTTACTATTTTTAATTATTTATTAAAATTGTTTACTGAATTAATCCACAGACTTTAGGGCGTTCACAACATAAAAATGCAACATAAAAGCACAAAATATGGCAGAACAAACTGGTAGAATACACAGAGTTAGCAAATATGACTGTGAAGAGAAGAAACCAAGATGAGACACAGGTAAGAGACGAGTGGAAAAACTCTGGAGAATATTTAAAGAGATATAACACTCAAATTAACTTACAAGTAGGAATAATTGTATGAGCAGCAGTTAACAACAGTGAGAGAAACATATGGGAACAAATGGGGAACAAATGGAATAAAAGGATATGCAGCAAAATAAAGTTTAACTAGAATGCCATAGAGTGATGGACTGGGAAGTCCTAAGAGAAGTGACCTATAATGGAAAATACGATGTATATACAAAAAAAACTGGGAAATGTACAAATACCTATTTTTTTAAAAAAAGCACAAAATATATGAAAAGAACAAAAAAAGTAACAAACCAATAACACATAACTAAAATAATGAATAATGTTACTAATTAAGGCCTATAAACTCTCTTTTGAATGCAAAACACTGCAAATTTTGAATAAAACCTTTTTATTTCAAAATACAGTGGTACCTCGGGATGCGAACGAGATCCATTCAGGAGCCCCGTTCGCATCCCGAAGTGAACATAACCTGTGTCTGCGGGTCACGTTTCGGCGCTTCTGTGCATGCGGCGAAACCCAGAAGTAATGCGCTCTGTTATATCTGGGTTGCCGCGGAGCACAACCCGAAAATGCCTAACCCGAAGCTTATTGATCCCGAGGTATGACTGTAAAGCTAAAACAAGTATCCTAGAGGCATATACAAAGTTGTCCTGAGTAGCTTGCAAAAGCAGCACTTGCGGGCCTGCTCACAAAGTGATGCTGGGCTTGTGGGGCACCGTGAGTGTGCCCAGCTTTGCAGCAATGGGCAGGGGTCGCTCTGACAGCACACCCTGTCCCCACAGCCTTGCCCCCATGGTGCACCCACCCCAGGCACAGGCGGGGAATGCTCCACCACTGCTGGATATTCCTCTTCTGCAGCAATTCACAAGGCATTGCTGATCTCAAATGATGGGGGGAGAGGTTGTGACGGACTCTCCTCTGTAACACTCCCACCACTCCTTGTCTATCTCCTACAAAAGGGGTAGCCAGGGGGAGGGGGGAGTTAGGGACTCTAAGAAGGAGGGCAGCTGCCGCAAGGGAGGATGTCCGCCCCCTTCACCCAGCTGAGACACTTTTGAGTGGCAAGGGGTTCTATTCCACCCCAAGGGCCACATGCCCACATGGGAAACTTCTTGGGGCTGAGAGCTTTCAGAGGAGGAACTGGGACTGGAATACCCACCCTTATTTATTTGGCCTGCCAGGACACCCTCTCACACCCTCCCCCCAAAAGACTCCTCACCTTCAGCCTCTTGAGATTCCTTGAGATCTGCCCCATGAGGTCCATGATGTTCTGCATGCTTGGCCACTCCACCTCTGTTGAGACAGGGAACCCTCTGTATAAAAAGAGTCGGTCTTTGAGGTGCCACCAGGCTTTTTGCAGACAGGGAGCTGCTGCCCAGGGCGGTTCCTAGTGTTGCCTCTTTCAGTGCCCATGAGCTCCATGGGTGGTAGAGATGGCCCAAGCCAACTCTCTTCGCCGTGAGCAAAACAACCCCAATGAGTGAGGCGCTGATGCCCACCTTGGCCCTGTTTTCCGAGTCTAAATACCCATTGCAGAGCTGCTTAAACTCTACCGCAGGAAGGGAACCTCAGGGAGGTCAATCACCACCCAACCACCCCTCCCATCAACCAGGCACCCTTTCCCAGGCAAGGGGGCAGCAAGGAACCGTGGTGTTATGGCCCCCCTTCTTACTTTGGCCACGGGGTGGACAAGGAGGGTCTTGAGAGGAACAGCGGGGCTTAAGGGGGAGCTCTCCTTCCCAAGCAATTTAAGCCGCAGCCACTGCCCCTTTGGCTTCAGGAACACGACCAGGTCTTTGAGAAGCAGGACGTGAAGGCCTAAGAGACACACACACACAGAGAGAGGGGTTGTTGCTCACCTGCTCCACTTACCCCGAGGAGAATATCAGGGTGTCAGGCTGCAGAATCAGACCAAAGGCCCCACAGGTCAGAGGGACAAAGTATGCACGACCAAATCAGGCCCTTGCACCCATGTAGCCCATGTGCGTTTCAACTGCTAAGGCTCTACCTATTTTAGGGATCATGTTCTAAAACTGCTTGGTTCTTTTAATTTTTTTGAAAGATGTCTGAGGTCCCTTTGCTTGGTCTGTCTAGTTCAGCCTTGTCTCCTCTGGTCGGCAGCAGTGGCTCTCCAGTGCTTTTAGACTCAAGAGACCCACAGCCCACAATGAGAGGTCACTTGAAAGAAGGGCAAAAGGCAGAGGGGAGGCCTTACCTGGAATTCCACGGCCAGCGGGTGGCTGCTGTTCTGCAGAGACCTGGCATCCAGCCAATTCTGGTAGGTGCCTAGTTGATGTTGGTTCTCCGCCTGCCTCAGCCCGCTCTTCATGCTCTGGAGGATTTCCTCGCACTGGTTGTGCGTCAGGCAAAGGCGCTGGTGCTCCCAGGTCAACCCTGAGTGAAGGAGGCACAGAGAGAGAGGGTGAGAGAGACAGCGGGGCTGACAGGCTGCTGGCAAAGTTGGCTTTCTTTTATTAGTTTGAGACTCACAAGGTGATCACAGAACAACTAGGAACAAAGCAAACAAGTCTGAAAGGCAGATGAGCAGCAGCAGCCCATTTTTCTCCCAAAAATGCTATTTTTATTCCAAACAATCCCAATAGTTAATGACACACAATGCCTAAAAACTGGTGAAAAGTCAGGTCTGTGCTAAAAGTCTCTGCTGTCTGGGGTTGATGGGAGGTGGGGAACAAATTCAAGATGCTGGAAATGCACCCAAGGAAGGGTGCAGGTGTGAGTGCCACTGAAATAAGGTGTGTATTTTAGGGCTGAGTGAAAAATGATCTCCCAGAATTCCCCATCCTATTTGTGGTTGGTGAAAATGGAGGTGGGGAGCATTCTCTTGAATATTTGGGATGGGGGAGATGGTAAATCTGCTGCAATTTGGATGGTGACAAAAAAGGAAACACAGGAAATTCTTGGGAAAACTCCCTGGGAAAATTGTTGGCTCATGTAACACCCAGCATGGGATTTAGAAAGCTCAAATAATCCAGGAGCATATTTAAAACCTGGGCATGCCTCTGCTCTAGCCCGTGACTTTACCTTCTGTGCAACCAATACCACACTGTGCAACAAGAGGGTAGAAAACCGTTCTCTGGACCGACAAGTAAGCCAAATAATTTTTTCCAAAGGAGCAAGACAGTTCCTGTGTCAAAGGATCAAATGAAGACAGTTATTCAAAGAAGAGGTTTCCAAAGTCATGGATCAGATGAAGACAGTTATTCAAAGGAGAAAAGAGGTTTCTCTGAAAGATGTCCACAAAGTCAAACTAATCTGAAGGCTTCTTCAACTGATCCAACGGACAGGGCTTCAACTGACACAGGGTCATTTCAAACAATTCAAATGGGCCTCCCTGGAAACAAAACATTCCACGGCCAGTTGTGAGGTCAGAGCTGGCCCAAGGGACTGGGACCCAGTGGGGCTCTGGGCTCCAGGCATGCTCTCTCTGCCAGGCCCATGTCCACCACTTGGCAACTTCAGGCGGCTGCCAAGTCCCTGACCCACCCCTGCATTTACCCCAAAGCAGGAGGCTTAGGCAGCTGTCTCGGCTCCCCTTAGAGTTCCCCCAAATAGGTATTTAGGTATACCTTTCCCAAGAAACCAGAGGCCTTCCTCCTGGGCATGGTGGACCAGAAAGTGTTAAAGAAGGATAGAACTTTGTTTATGTATGCTACTACAGCGGCAAGAATTCTCATCGCAAAGCACTGGAAGACACCAGATTTACCCACGCTGGAAGAATGGCAGACGCAGTTGATGGACTACATGGAACTGGCTGAAATGACTGGCAGAATCCGTGATTTGGGAGAAGAAACAATGGAGGAGGACTGGAAAAAATTTAAGGACTATCTGCAAAAACATTATAAGTTGTATGAATGTTAAGAATGTGTACGATTAGGAAACTTTTGCTTCAGCAACTTGAATAGGTGAATTGGAAATTAAGTTATGAGAAAGATGAGGTAGACAACATGAAGTAACCATATTATGTTTATTTACAGGGTACAAATAACTGAGATACAGTATTCTAAATTTGGAAACATAGTATTTGAAAGATACAGTAAGATATGAAATAAGGTAACAAATTGCTGATGTTACAATTGCAAAGAACGCAGAATTCGGAAGATGTGGGGAAGTCCGATTGGAATTGTTAAAATATTTTGGAAAGTTGGAATTTATGTATACTTTTTTCTTCTTATTTTTACTTTCTACTTTTTATTCTGTAAATTTCTGAATATCTGAAAGAAAACTTAATAAAATATTTAAAAAAAAAGAAAAAAAGAGTTCCCCCAAATCCTCCCCACTTTGCACCCCTTTGGAGAAATGAAGGAAATCAGGCAGGACATGACTCTGATCCAGTTTCTGGCACCTCCTAAAACTCACCTATTTGCCCAGGAGTTGGATGGCTAGTGTTCCATTGTTTGGTCATTGTGTTTTATCGGTTCCAGTGGTTTGGGTGTTATTTTAAATGTTAGTGTTTGTGGGCTTCATTGGATTATGGAACTGTTATAGTAAAATCCTTGGGCTCACTTGGATTGCCAAACAAAGAAACAACACTGAAAAGGACATACCAAGAGCTCACTCCCTAATAGAAAACGCACAGAGAAACGCAAGAAAACTTGGATTCAATTATCTAAGGTGAGAAAACACTCATCTGATGTCCGTTTTTCACAAACAATTTGACTGGAAATAATAACTCTTGTAAATTCTTATTTCTAGATGCATGTCGAAAAAGAAACATAAAAGAATTAAATGATATAGACTTCCAAAGATTTATACCTCAAAAACGAGGTATGGAACCAAATATCATGATATGTGTTAATACACTTTAGTATGTATATACTTTATTATATTTATGATCTATGGTATTGAAGAACCTTGATCTATTTTGACATATTATTTGATATTACCAGCTGAAGAAGGCGTTTACTCCGAAACAGGGCCCTGTCCTGGTCACCACTCTGGTCACCACTACTGAGTCGTACATCTGATTCACACTCCGGATACTCCTTTTTGGCCCTATTTGATTCTTTATTCTTTATTTTGATTTATATAATATGGACTCTTTTTGACTGGCATTGAGACTTGTATAAAACAATTGTTGTGTACTGGTATTTTATGTACCTTTATACTATATCACTGCATATTTGAAACTACATTATTTCTGCACTTAAACGTTGTATCTAAATTTACTATTACCTTAAAACTATCGTACTTACACGTTGTGTTCAAATTTACTATTAGCTTCAAACTGTTATTCTTAGCAGAATATACACGTTTTTCTTTTCAACTCTCGAGTAGGAATTATTCCTTATATTGAAACTTGTGGCCAGAGCTCTTGGTATATCCTTTTCAGTGTATTTTCAACAAGAAACAAAGAAACAAGCCAGGAATATAAGAGCAAAATAGCAGCTGGTAGGTCTGATCTTTATTCAAAAGACTGTTGCAACAGGACTTCTACCCAACACATGGAAGAAGCAGGAAGTATTTACAAAATTGAATTGTGTTGGTTTGGGGGATGGTCTGGGGATGCAGTGTACGTTTAACTGGAAACCCCCCCCCCCACCTTAATAAAAATTCTGGTAACAGAACTACCTTCTCTCTCTGCCTGGATTCTCACCCACATTCTCCACCTCTAGGCATCTTTTTAAAAACATGTTTGTGCTCCTAGAAGCCTTTCTTGGTGTTTTACTGTTTTTTTACATGAAAACTCCATCTTTTGTCTGAGGAACAAAGTACAATTCCTCTCCAAATTATCCTCACAATAACCCTGTGAAGTAGGCTAAGCTGAGAGTCTGAAACCTGGTCCAGGGTCACCCAGTGAGCTTTATAGCCAAGAGGTGATTTGAACCCTGGACACTCGGGTCCTAGTCAGGTCTGGGCACCCTGGTATATTATCATTTTAACTGCCCTGTTTTGTCAGCTCTGTTTCCCCCCTGTATTTCAAAGCCCATCTAGTCCAGCCTCATGTTCTCATGGTAGTAACCCAGATGCCTCTTCTGGGAAGCCCACAAGCAGGACCAGAGCGCAGCAACAGCAGCAGGGCTTCCCCCACTTGGGAGTTCCCAGCAACTGGTGTTTGGGGGCACTCCTCACTGCCTCCAATACTGGAAGTTGTAGGGGGCTGTTGCGGCTTTTAAATGATGAAGCAAGCACACCTTGCGGAGGAATGACTTCCAGTGAAACTGGGTGAATTTAAATACCAAAGCAGCCACTAGAGGGTGCAATGGACACACATTAGCTCCTGTTGCAACTGGGGGTGCAGTGGGGTGGTAGGGGCGATGATGATGATGATGATGACGATGACGACGACGACGACGACGATGATGATGATGATGATGATGATAATAATAATAATAATTATTATTATTATTTATACCCCACCCATCTGGCTGAGTTTCTCAGCCACTCTGGCGGCTCCCAAAATCAAGTGTTAAAAAACAATACAGCATTAAATATTAATGCTAGTTAACCTCAGTAATTTATTACATCGTGCCTTTATTTATTTATTTATTTATTTAGCATATTTTACCCCACTCTTCAGCCAAAAAAGGCTCCCAGATTGACTTACATGAAAATCAGAACAAGACATATAGTCATTTACATAGACACTGTATATGGAAAATAAAAGTATTTGTTAATGTTAGTTGGTCCTGATTACTTAGTCTGATGTAAAAAAAAAAGTCTTTGGACTAGGACCTGGCAGACCAAGATCCTTCAGCCCCCTCCTTTAGCACGCTGCAGCCCTTGATCCAGCCCTTACATTGCATTGAATCCAACGCTAAGCATACACTGAGCTGACCCACTTAAATTATGGTTATGTCCCTTATTGTCAGTGAGTAGTCTGAAGTAACAAGAGATGTGTACAACTAAGCTGTATTGTAGCCTGCACTACCTTGCAGGGCTGTTGTGAGGATTCAACAGGGAGGTGGCCACGGGGGGGGGGGGCAGTCGCAGTCCCATGGCCAGCCTTGTGAGCTCCCAGTTGGACAAAGGGCATTGAGGGGCAGAGACATTGTTGTTGCGCTTGTGGCAGTGGGAGGAAGGTGGGCGCCTTGCCTGAGAAAGCGTGACGTGCAAGGGAGAGGCTATGACCCTTGAGTAAGCACGGTGGCGGCAGCACCTCAGGCAGGCGCCCACTCCTTCACTTGACCAGGGGTGCGCGGTGGGCACTTCCTCTGCCACCCAGCCGGCCAACTCCCAGTAGCCCCAACATCCACCAAGGCCAATAGTTAGTGAAGAAGTGAGTTGTGAAGCTGAAGATAGCTTCTTGAAAGTTTTCTATGTGCATAAAGAAAAACAAGAAAAACTTTTATTGCGGTTTCCAAGAACTACTGAACGAGTTTGGACACAAGCACCCATGTGAATAACCAGCTCTCTCCCTTTTGCTTTCGGGTCTTGTCTTTCTTGAAGCCTAGATGGGTTTTTGCCCTTCCACATTCCATAAGTTGCTGACAGCAGCAGCAGAGCGATTTCTAACAACTCAGGCCTGAAGCAATATTCTGATTACCTTTTAGCATGCTGAGATCAGCAGGTTTCGTAGTCCAAATAAACTGGGTGTTCTTCTTAAACCAAGGCCCTTATTTCATTTGTGCACCTGGGATGTTGAGAGCATCAGAAATGGCTGTTTCTCCAACAGGTGAGATCACATGTTTGAACCTCTGCACATTTTGCAAGGAAAGGCAACATGATAGATCAGCATGACCAAAGTCCGTTTCGAAGGCCTAATCCGGCCCGCCGATCGGTTTAATCTGGCCCCTGTGGCAGTTTCTTTCCTTGGGTAAAATCCTAAAAGAAACCTCAACAACTTTGGTCGGCCCTTTGGTCAGCCCTCACGGCTCTTCACTTCATCAAATCTCAAATCTCTTTGAAAAAAGTTTTGGACACCACTGTGATAGATGTTTATAACAGTATGTATGACAGAGTAGGGACGCGGGTGGCGCTGTAGGTTAAACCACAGAGCCTAGGGCTTGCCGATCAGAGGGTTGGCAGTTCAAATCTCCGCGATGGGGTGAGCTCCCGTTGTTCAGTCCCAGCTCCTGCCCACCTAGCAGTTCAAAAGCACGCCAAAAGTGCAAGTAGATAAATAGGGTACCGCTCCAGCAGGAAGGTTAACGGCATTTCCATGCGCTGCTCTGGTTCACCAGAAGCGGCTTAGTCATGCTGGCCACATGACCCAGAAGCTCCCTCGGCCAATAAAGCAAGATGAGCGCCGCAACCCCAGAGTCGTCCGCAACTGGACCTAACGGTCAGGGGTCCATTTACCTTTACCTTTATGACAGAGTAAAAGTGTCTGGATAAAAGTTTTTCTCCCTCATAATGCTGGAACTTGTGGACATTCAATGAAGCTGAAGGTTGGAAGATTCAGGACAAATAAAGTACTTTTTCATGCAGGCATAGTTAAACTGTGGAACTGACTCTCACAGGAGCAGTGATGGGCCACCAACTTAGATCCCCTTAAAAAGAGGATCAGACCCATTCACGGAGGAAAAGGCTATCAATGGTTACTAGTACCCACAATGGCTATGCTCTGCCTCCATGACTGGAATCAGTAACTCCTCTCATACCATTTACTGGAAACCACAGGAGGGGAGAGTGCTCATGTGATCAAGTTCTGCTTGAGGGTTTCCCACAGGCATGAGAACATGACGCTGGACTGGATGGGCCATTGGCTTGATCCAGCAGGCTGTTCTTCTGTAAGAGCTTATCTTGCAAATGCTGGGGTCAGCTGCCACCTCTGCTTTCACCCCCTCCCTCCCCCTCTGGCATGATGGACACCTATGGCAAAGGGTAAAAAGGCACCCCAACAGCATTTCATGTACAGAAGCCAATGAAGCACTGCATCCATTGCACCCAAGGGCAGGTGGGCAAGCTTGGAGCCACAGGGCAGGTTGTAATGTCATACACAACTCTGTTCCCCATCATCCTGCCCCCTCTCCCCTCTCCCCGCCCCGCGTCTGCTGCCTCACTCTGCTTATTGGTAGGGCCAGGCCTGTGAGAAAGCATTTCATCTCCTTGGTGGATTATCCTTTGTTGTCATGGACAGGGGCTGGGACTTTTTGTCACAGCATCCCCAGTGGCAAGATGATGCTATTCATGTCCACTTCCATTGGAAGGATGCCTCCTCCCCACAATGCTCTATTGATGCACCTTAAGTAGTTCTTGCTGCTATTACATTTCTACCCCACCTTTCCTCCAAGGAGCTCAAGGAGACACACAACAGTTCCCTCCCTTCCATTTATTCTCACAACCGTTCGGAGGAAAACAACAGCTACTTGGAGCCAGTGGGTGGCGACAGAAGGGCAGCCTATTCTTCCTCCTCATGGATTCTTTCTCTTTTAGCAACTAGTGTACTTTTGCTTTTTCCCTTCCTCCCTGCTACTCCAATTTTTTTTAGTTCAAGCCAGTTAGTATGAGTTACTTTGTGCTAGTGCCTCTGTATTAGCCAAGTGTGAAGCTTGTGCTCAGAATAGCTTTGTGTGCCGTGACTAATCAACCTTAAGTTTTCTTTGTCCTTTCAACCAGTAGCCTTATCAGACTATTTCTGTGTGCACTCTGCTGTAACATATTTGCCAAACTTTGACAACAATCACCTTGTGAGGTAGATTAGTTTAGGAGACAGTGCCTTGCCAGAAGTCAGCCAAGTGAGCTTCATGACTGAGCATGGATTTCAACTCCAGTCCTCAGGGTCCTAGTCCAACACTCCAACCACTGCACCATACTTTCAGTGATGCTGAATCCTATTATCAGTGGACCACCCAAAGCTTCATTTCTCCAGAAAGCAGTCATTGTTGCTGTTGTTGCAGAGAGCAAATCGTATCTGCAAGTCATCTGTCTTGTGACTGTGTGACCCATCCGCTTTTTGTCTCTTTTGGATGGGTTGCCTGCACTGCTGAAATGTGATTCGTTGTTTGATTGATCAATGGCTGTATATCAGTTCTGATATTCTGGCCATGTTTTATTCTTTTCGTTCATTAACCGCTTCCCGTGAAACATCCTGAAGTGATTTAACAATAAAAGCATCCAAAGTAAAACCATTTCAAAAGTCCGATACAGATTCAAACTGGGATAAAAAAAATCTCCACAGAAAAGGCTTGTCAAAAAGGGGATTTCATAAGCACTGAAAACAGATTAGTGATGCACACTTAGGAGTAAGCCCCATTGAAACAAGCAGCAAGTCTGCCAAACAAACCTGACCCAACAATGATTTCCTCTCACATACGTACCGGATTGGGTTATAAGCCACCTCCCTGGCTACCTTGGAGGAAGTGGGGGGCCCACACATGGGGAACAACAGGGAAAAGGCTACATTCTCCCACTCCCTCACAATATGGAGATCTCTGTTTCAGCGTTTGCCCCATGCCCTGTTTGTGAGCTCAGTTTCGGGCCTCCTGGGTCACACACCTGCAGCAGGTGCTTCTATCACTGTTATTCATGATTTATTCTAGAAAGCGCTAAAATATACTACGCACTACAAGGGAGTGAAATGAACAGGCTCTGACCTGCAAGCTGATGATCTAATCTTTTAATCTACCCAAGGCTGGTTTGCTGAGGACTCACCTTTTCCTAAGGGAAGCTGTCTCTCTGTCTGACTGTCTCCTTTTTCTCCAGCCAAACTGTCTACTAGCTCGCTTCCCAGTCCCCTCAGGCTTCTCCTGTGGGCCTCTAGCTCAGTTTTCAATCCTCTTTCTGAAACAGGTTTCCTAGCCTGTAGAGCCTTTGGCACAAACACAGACCCATCCCACATTCATCTGGTCCAGTTTCCACCTGTTCTCCTGAGAACAGGTGCCGACTTCCCCTTCTCAGGGTGAGATGAAACTCATTTGGTGCAGAAAGGATTCTCAGGTGTATCTCTATATAAGGTCACATCTGCCCCATCTATTTTGTTAGCATATACAGCAAAAAGTCAACTGCAGTTCACTGAATCCTTGGTTGCAACACACTTGCTCACACCTTTGTTCTCAGAAGGTAAGATTCAAGATGACCGCAGGCCTCAAGGTCCAGAGAAAGTGTGAGGAGGAGGAAGTGGCAAATAGGATATACAAGCTAAGATGCATCAGTCTAAACCTGAAAGGATAGAGGAAAGTCAGCAGAGATAAAAAGATACAAGACTAGCCTGGGAATCTGGAGGTCCCTTATCATCTAAGCTCCAAGCAAACCTTTCTCGGCAAGCTGAGTTGCACTCTAACTTCCAACACACACTTTAAACAGTCTTGCCTTCCCCCATAGACTCCTGAAAACTGTCATTGCTAAGGATGCTGAGAGTAGCTAGGTAAAGGTAAAGGTACCCCTGCCCGTACAGGCCAGTCTTGACAGACTCTAGGGTTGTGCGCTCATCTCACTCTAGAGGCCGGGAGCCAGCGCTGTCCGCAGACACTTCCGGGTCACGTGGCCAGCGTGACGAAGCTACTCTGGCAAGCCAGAGCCGCACACGGAAACGCCGTTTACCTTCCCGCCAGTAAGCGGTCCCTATTTATCTACTTGCACCCGGGGGTGCTTTCGAACTGCTAGGTTGGCAGGTGCTGGGACCGAGCAACGGGAGCGCACCCCGCCACAGGGATTCGAACCACCGACCTTTCGATCGGCAAGCCCTAGGCGCTGAGGCTTTTACCCACAGCGCCACCCGCGCTGAGAGTAGCTAGGAGGCACCTATTCCCTTCAGAGCTACCAGTCAGTGTTGGTAGACTAGAAGACATCTAAGGCCAAATCCTGTACCAGCAGCTGTGGCATAAGGCAGCCTGTGTTTCTCTCTGTTCAGTTTCTTACTCAACTTTAATGTTAATTTTTGTGTTCTGGAAACTAGCACCGAACTAAGAAGCATTGTGTGGATAGGGGTCTGCTAAGATACCAGAAGCAAGCAAGCAGAGACCTTTATACAAATGCTGTATCCAGCAAGGAACTTCTTTCCCAAAAGGCAAACTTGACCATGTTTCTCCTACTTGGATAATGAAATGTCTCAAGCACAATGACAAGGAAGGAGGAGCACCTTTGCTGTTCCAGTGAGAGGATGGGTGAATACATGCATGTTCTGCCCTGCAGGTGATTTTCTTATGATGGGGTCCTCCAAGCTTATATTTATTCCTAGTGTTGGGAATTTCACCTGCTCGATGGGCATATTGCAACTGTACACAAACTTGAAGTAGCCCAAAGGCTAAAAAAGCAGACAGTGGTCCTGCAGACCTAGGGAGTTTCAAAAGAAAGGAGTATTTCACCAGGAAAAACTATTCAGAGTAAATGGGAGAAAGGCACATCTACTATGCTTTTTTAAACTTCTATGGACCTCCTGGAGTCTTCTGGTCCTGCTTTGCTGGCAGTTAGGGAAAGCTCCATAATACAGTGGTACCTCGGGTTAAGTACTTAATTCATTCTGGAGGTCCGTACTTAACCTGAAACTGTTCTTAACCTGACGCACCACTTTAGCTAATAGGGCCTCCCGCTGCCGCCGGAGCATTTCTGTTCTTAACTGAAGCACTATTTCTGGGTTAGCGGAGTCTGTAACCTGAAGCGTATGTAACCCGAGTACCACTGTACTACTTTAGTCAGATATATAGAGATTTGGGGTTTCAAAAGCCTACTTAGCACCATGGATAAAATGCACCCAATTTGGGGCATGTTTGTGGTGGTTTAACTACAAAAGGTTCATTTCAGTCATTTTCATGTTTGTCAATCTGGTTTCAAACGATTGGAAAGTCTGCAGACTTGCGTTACAGGCTCCCATTAGCCTTTAAAAGGCTATACAGACCACACCCAGCCAACACAGTTCAAAGTTGTCAAGTTTGAAATACTTTATTTTTCTGAACACATTTTCTTCCTTTTATCTGTATGAAAGCAACTACAAAAATAGGAAAATTGTCTCCTTTTTTCAAACGGCATTTTTAGGTGCAGCAGCTGCATTTATCCGACAGTGGCTCTTTGCAGACACAATTCTTAGCACATTTGGCGCATCCAGCTGGGCAACAAGAGCAGCAGCCTGAAAGAGATGGGCAAAAAATGACATTGGATGTTTAGCGTGCCAAAGAGATTAATGACCTTTAGTAATTTAAGTGGCTGGCATTATAACAAATTAAGCGGGATAGTGAAATGTCTCAAGCACAATAAGGAAGAAGGAAAAGTGGTTAAGGTGCCATCAGCTTGTATAAGGGGTACAATTACTGCACAGCAAATACAGATACAAACGTAACTAGCCCAAAATCTGAAGTCACTTTTGGCAGATCAACAGCTTCAAAAAAAATAAGAGGAAAACAAATTCTTCCAGCTTACTAAAGCTTTTATGCCTCCTTGCGTCAAGTAGTTTTCACCCACATATTGAATGTCAGCTAATAAGGGGAACTTTCTCTATTTCTTTTCCCCTGATGCTGGGCATTTAATAAGCCTGGCATGATTTACACTGGGTATGGGTGAGAGAAATACAAAAGTTCAAGTTTAGGAGGTTTCCCTAAATTCAAAATTAATACCAAGAGATGTTTAACTTTTAATGAATTTGTTCAAGAATAGAACTTAACCTTGTGAAAGGACAAGCCTTGGAAAGGAGGCTTCTAAGGGAGAACATTATGTCCAATCCTATGTATATTTTGTCAGAATCAAGTCCCAAATAGTTCAGTGAGAATCACTCTCAAGTACACATGCTAGGACTGCATTGCAAGTTCCTGTGTGAGATCAGCAGCCAACACCATTCATTTAGAGCACATGGCTGTTCCCCAGTATCCTGGAAACTGTAGATTACCCTTCAGTGCTGTGGTTCCCAGCACCCTTAACAAACTACCATTCCCAGGATTCTTTGGGGGGGGGGAGAAGCCATATGCTTTAAACATAGTGTGAATTTACCTGCAAAACTCTTAGTTTCTAGGTTTTAACCAGCTCCTTCTGATGCATGGAACTTTTATTGGGTTCACAAAGAGATACTCACTTTTTTTGCATGAAGTGCATTTGCAATTTTTGCATTTGCAGGAGCCGGCACAGGAACAAGAGCCACCTGGAAGGGGGAGAAATATACATACCACTGAGTTAAATTAAAATAAAACTCCACCCTTCGTCCCTTTCAACAGAAATATATGCTTGCACTGAAGCCACTGAAACCAATGGCTATAGGGTTGCATGCAGACAACTTCTTCTCGTTAATAAAAAATAGAAGCAATACAAGTTTGCCAAATTGCCACCTATGCCTATAGGATGGAAGAATAAAATTCAGAAGTAAATTGGAGGCAAAGCACCTAAGTTTAATGGAGAATGCTTTGGAGGGTTCCAGACTCAGAAGCCAAAAAGGGTAAGTTCCCAGAGTTTATACTGTGGGCTTCTTTCTTAAGTGGGACTGCTTTGTGACGGGGAACAGTACCACTAGCTTGGATCAAGCACTAGAGCCAGTTCTAAAGTGTAGAAAGACTGATGTTCTGAGAATCTGAACAGAGATCACAGGTTCTTAAAATTAGTTAGTTACTAAGCATCCCACTATTTACCCAATTAATGAATGCATTGGGACAACTGTAAGCAAGAATCTCCAGGGTCACAGATTCCCAGAGAGTGCTGCAATACTTTTTTTTCATAGTAGTAACATTCAAGTGCAGAAGTGACTAGCTTTAGTGCATCAGAGTACTTTCAAGGTGATCAGCACTGCCAAAGCAGGCATCTGAAGAGCAAGGAAATCACATTTTTGCTCAATATGATTTTGTGAATGCTGTAAGGAGGCTGAACAGAGGAAGGACGGGTCTGCTCAAATACATCATCACACCTGGCATCAGTAAGCATGGCAATTGTAGGCCTGTAGATGTCAGTGGCTAAAACTGATTAAAGATAAAGGTAAAGGGACCCCTGACATTGGGTCCAGTTGTGGCCGACTCTGGGGTTGCGGCACTCATCTCGCTTTATTGGCTGAGGGAGCCGCGCGTTACAGCTTCCGTGGGTCATGTGGCCAGCATGACTAAGCCGCTTCTGGCAAACCAGAGCAGCACACAGAAACGCCGTTATCTTCCTGCCAAAGCCGGGTACCTATTTATCTACTTGCACTTTGACGTGCTTTCGAACTGCTAGGTGGGCAGGAGCAGGGACCGAGCTCACTCCGTTGCGGGGATCTGAACTTCCGACCTTCTGATCGGCAAGTCCTAGGCTCTGTGGTTTAACCTACAGCGCCACCCGCATCGCTGTATCTTAAAAGGGATGTTTGAAAAGCAGGGACTCCCAATGAAAATGGATGCTGCACCACAATCCTAAGCCAATTACTTAGAAATAAAATATTTGTGTAGTAAAGTGCTTGAGAATCACACCCTTTAAAAACATCCCCTGTGGTAACCCCCCCCCACCATTCAAGCTATAGAAGCGTATAGGAAGCAACCCTTTATTGCAGACTCCGCCTCCACCCACCCCCTGCTCTCTTTAGACGGCAAATGAGTGTTAAGCCCAGCGCACTGCAGCATTTGCGGATCCTTTGTACTCATTTCTGCAGAACTGGCCCAACAAAGGCCCATTTTCCCTAGCCGGGCAGCTTGTCCCTCTGCTTCAGCCTTCCGCCGCTCCGTACCCTCCAGATGCTGTGGGACTGATTCCCATCAATCCCGCCAACACAGCCCATCTGTCGGGGATTATGGGTGTTGTTGTCCAACACATCTGGAAGACAGAAGGCTGGGGGGAACCTGCTCTAAGTCACCTACCAAGGCCCAGCAGCAGCTCTGCAGAGGTACAAACAAAAGGTCTGAGACCAGGATGGAACCTGGGACCGTCTGGTGCAGAGCGCGCTCTTTGAGCCACCGATCCCTGGCTCTTTCTAAAGCAGTCGAGCAAGTGGAATGAAGACTCACCAGTGGCGCAAGCGCAGTCCTGAGGATCCATCGCAGTTGCAGGAGTGATCACAGATCGGAGGATTAAACGAGGCAAGAGGAGATGTGTGGCCTGAGGGCAGCCTCTGCCGGCATATTTATAAGCAGCCGGAAGGCAGGCGCGGCGAGTGCAAAGCGCCCGCCCCTTTCCTGCGCACGGACCGGCCCCGGGCAGCGGGCAGAGGTGGCGAGGGGTGCAAAAGCGAAACGCACGCAGCGCCGCGTGCAAAGGAAGGCGGCCCCCGCGCGGCCCCGTGCGCACATTTCGTAATCGGCGCCCTTGCCAAAGGTCCAGCCTCTCCTCCCCTCCGTTTATGGAGCTGCGTGCAAAAATTAGTCTCTCTTTCCCTGAAGCATTGCACGATCGAGCCGTCGGCTCCGCGTGCAAATATCGACCGCTTCCAGGCGGGGGAGGCGCATGAAAGATTTCGCAAGGAGGGGGAAAACTTGCAGTGAGAGGGAAATTCAGTGACGGGTCATTTTCTCTTCCCGTTGGAAGAGCGTGTCCATGTTTACTTGTGTGGATCTGAAATGGATTTCGTTATTTAAAGCATTAAAAAGAGATTGTGGTTGTTGTAAACAGAATCTGCCCTTTTTCCCTTATGGGGTATCCAAGAACATGGTCATCAACGCAAAAAGGAGCCCAGATAAGTGCAAGTGAGAAAACGGCCCCAGTTCTGAAGCTTTCAGTATTAAAAGACGCCGCGCAAAATGAAAAAAGCGATTGGAAGGGGGAAAGTAAGCTCTATTTCTTCGTTACCCTGTGCATTTAAAGTATAGTTGAGCTGCTTCATTTTATTTAGGGCATCCCTTCCCAGCAGGGATTAATCTGAACTCAGGAGGGCTGGATCCTGAGACCTATTTACAATTATGGGACTCAGTGCTGAAGGAATAACAAGTAATGGCTTCTGAACACCGTAAAGAGTAGTTTCCACCTCATTATTTAGCTACACATCTGGGGATCAAAAAGGAAAGGGCGTTTGAATCCCACTTTTCATTTTCTTAAGCTGTTCAGCCATGAATCTTGTCAAAGAAGGAATCTTTAGCCTCAGTTGTCCATTTGTAAAATGGGGTAATAACACCAGGAGATTACAGTTCCAGGTTGGTGGCTCTGTTTCTCAGTTATGCCAAAACCAGAGTCCTCTGCCACCTTTAAGACACTGACCTCAAAAGGTTGAGATTCCTGCATTATAACGGGGTTGAACTAGATGACCTTTGGTGTACCTTCCAACTCTGCAGGTCTGTGATTCTAGAAGGACATTGTAGAGCTAGAAAAGTTTCAAAAACAGGCAGTTTGCCTCCCGCAAGATATAGTGACATCCACCCACTTAGGTTTGAAGAAGGATTGGCCAAATTCATGGAGGGTAAGGCTGTGTGTGGCTGCTAGTGACACAGTGGCTGTGTTCTCCCTCCGCTGTTGGAGGTCCTGTTTGCAGACTTCTCAGAGGCATATAATTGGCCACTGTGAGATCAGGATGCTGAATTAGATAGGCCACTGGCCTGATCTTATGTTCTTATACATCTATGTTGTAAAATGCAAGGGTGTTTTTTTGCTTTTTTACAGGAGCATTCAACATTAGGCTTTCTCCTGCCCTGCAACAGCAGTTTCTGACTTTGGAAGGCATAATGGCCTTCAGGCACAACTTTCTAAATGGTACTGTGCATTATTTCATTTGCTTCCTAATTCAGCCCTGCTGCATTTGGGGGCTCATTCTTCTGAATGGGGGGCCCTGGACTACTGCCCCAAAGTCCTGCCTTGACAGCGCTACAGGTCACAGTAATAAATCTGATATCTTTGGGTTGCTTGCTGTTGTGTGGGGTGAATCTAGTAATAATGTTAGAGCACTGTGTACGCACATCCACCCACACAGAGAACAAGAGCTGGAAATGACTGAGGTTTCTATTTTGGAGAAGAAACAGACTTCTGTCACTGAACTTTTTGAACAAAGCACACTGAGTCCTGTACACACGGTATGCCTTTCTTTGCATTTTCCTCTGCACCCCAGTCAAAGCAGGCGCTGCTCCTCTTGCTCAGTCTCCTGTGCTGTGTGCAAACAACACATGGCAATAAAAACATATCTTGTGCCATGTGCAAACTCCTTCCGGGGCCAGTGCAGCAGTTTTATCTGGGAACATGTTAATGCTGACTCAAGGGTGTGTCAGCCATTGTGTGACCAAAGGGAAAGAGAAGTAAAAGTGAGGGGGCAGTTCATGAGAAATATGATTGTGTTGCAAAGGTTTGTGCTGATGGGATTAAGCAAAAACTTACATAGCAAAGGTGATTTCCAAAATCCGCATTTTTTATTAATTTTTCTTTCCTTTCATTCCTTTTTCATTATTAACGAACTGCATTTAAATCAGACAGTTTTGACATCCATCTCCTGATTGAAAATATTTCTTTTTTTGCCATTCTTAGACAATTTGATTTAGCGTGAGTCATTTGTTCTGTATTTTATTATTTTATACTTTAATGATGTTATTGTTCAGTGCCATCTCCCAATGTT